TTGGCACGGCTGAAGCGCTGGGACGATGTGTAAGTCTGAAGGTGGGCCTGGGCCAGCCTGCAGATTGGGGAGGTCACCATGGAGCAAGCAGAGGATCCCAGCGTGAGTGTTACCTCAGACATTGCTCGGAAAGGCCAGCTGGTCACAGCTCAGGCACCGTGGCCGGCCCAGGACCTTCTCAAGATTGTTGACTTCCTTGCTGGGACCGGCTGAAGCGCTGGGACGATGTGTAAGTCTGAAGGTGGGCCTGGGCCAGCCTGCAGATTGGGGAGGTCACCATGGAGCAAGCAGAGGATCCCAGCGTGAGTGTTACCTCAGACATTGCTCGGAAAGGCCAGCTGGTCACAGCTCAGGCACCGTGGCCGGCCCAGGACCTTCTCAAGATTGTTGACTTCCTTGCTGGGACCCTGACTGCCAGGCAGGAATTTTAGACTGCCTTCCCTCAGGGCTCCCAACATGCCTCTCCCTGACTGCGAGAGGCTGACCGGTGAATGGCTCTGAGGGAAAAATGAGGGTTTGAGTAGCAGGCGGGGCTGGGAGCAGTTAGAAAACATGTCTTTGAGAGAGACTCAACCTTGATTTTATTGGTTCCTTAAGAGGGGACTTGATTGCAGTCTATAAGGGCCCCCGTGGGGAACAAATATTTGATAATGGGTTAGTCTAGCCGAGAAAGGTCTAACACGATCCAATGGCCGGATGTCGAAGCTAGATTGGAAATGAGGCCCACCGTTTCAATGGCGAGGGTAAGGAACCATTGGCGGTGAATTGTGGCAGGTTGTGGCTGACTCTCTATCACTGGCAACTTTTAAAACTGAGGTGGAATTGTTTCTCTAAAAGCTCTCGGCGTTCTTTCAGGCATTTCTCTGGCCTGTGTTGCACAGAAGGACGTGGCCGAGGATCACAGTGGTCCCTTCTGGCCTTATGGTCTCTGGATCTATGAATTTTGAAGGGCCCTCTGGGAGAGCAGTGGTAATTTCCTGCAGTGCTGTTGTGAAATGTGATTGAATTACAGAGAAGTGGCCCTGCGGTGCATTGTATTCAATGAGGGGTTTGTCACAGTACCGGCTAGGTCTCTCTGAAATCTCTGGAGGGGGAGATGCAACCAATGTGGGACCTGGGAGTTCAGAGGACCAGAGAAGAATGGGCCTCTGGGGACAAAGAGGGTGGAGTTGTTTTCCTGGGGAGGATCTAGGGGGCGGTGAATGCTGAGGAGCGGACCGTTGTCTGCTGATTGATAGTATCTGAGGCCAAATCAAAGGTGCAAACTGTATTTAAAACAAAAGTCTGAACTATTTGTGGTGGTTCTGGTTCTGAGACCGTTAGGCGCTTGTGTAACCCTGGGGAAAACCCAGTTACGGGTTTTGACACCCGCCACAGTCCCTGTGTGGTGGGGTGACTGCCCCACACTGGCCAGAAGGGGTTCATGAAGGTTGGCCTTCGCAGAACCCTAGCCAATGAGGGAGAGGCTTTCAATGAGCCAACCAGGGTGTAACTCGAGGGGCAGCCCTGTATATAAGGAGCTGCTCAGCAGAGCGAGTCAGTTTGGCTCTGACTAGGGAAGGGGCAGGACTGGTTCCCAGCGAAGCACCTTCTGGAGACCACTGCTGGGTGGGCGTACGGAGGCGGCTCCAGCCTGATACCTGCCATGCTGCAGGCCTTGCTTCAAGGGCCAGGAGGGTGCAAAGGGTCACAGGGGAAGTGGCCCAGGGGACTAGAGGCAGTAGAAGAGAGCACGGGAGGGCAGGACAAGGCTGCGCCAGAGGGTCGCTGGATAGGGACCCAGAGTAGTGGGTGGGCCTGGGTCCTCCTCCTCCCCCCCCCCCCCCCCGCCCACTGTGGCAGCAGGGACACCCGACTGCTGATAAACCCCCTGGAAAGGGGGTGAGAGACAATTGTACCGGGCAGTGTCCTGAAGAGGACACTGTGGTTTGGGGGGTGATGGGGCCTACAACTGGGGTGTGGAGTGAGGACCCGGGGGGATACCAGCCAAAAGGAGGCACGCTGTGGACTAAAGGGCTGTGTCTAGACTGGCACGTTTTTCCGCAAAAGCACCTGCTTTTGCATGAAAACTTGCCAGCTGTCTACACTGGCTGCTTGAATTTCCACAAGAACATTGACAATCTCGTGTAAGATTGTCAGTGTTCTTGTGGAAATGCTATGCTGCTCCCGTTCGGGCAAAAGCCCTTTTCTGGAAATGCTTTTGCGCAAAAGGGCTAGTGTAGAGAGCTGAAAACTGTTTTGCGCAAAAAAGCCCCGATGGCGAAAATGGCGATCTGGGCTTTCTTGCGCAAAACCGCGTCTAGCTTGGCACGGACGCTTTTCCGCAAAAAGTGCTTTTGCGGAAAAGTATCCGTGCCAATTTAGATGCTCTTTTCCGCAAATGCTTTTAACGGAAATACTTTTCCGTTAATCTGAAAATCATGCCAGTTGAGGCGTAGCCAAGCACTAATTCCCTGGAGAAACCAGCAGGAGGTGCGGTGGCAACGAGCGCTCGTCCCGAGACACCCTGGTTGGAGTCAATTGGCCTGATCCCTGCAAGGCACCTGGGTAGGCTCTGGTCTTGTTAATCTGAAAAAACTAACGCGCTTGCTAGGAAGGAGCTGGGGCGGGGGGTGACTTGTAGCTAGGGCCCTTCTGCTGCCCGTATCCTCCGGCGAGAGAGCCCAGGAAGCAGCTGGGCTCCTGGGGAAGATCCTGGAAAAACCCCTCACAGAAAGGAGAGGCGCTCAGCTCATTACCCGGGAAAGGCGATGGCTGAGGAGGCAGGAGGCTACAGCCCGGATACGGGTGCAATTGCCCTGAGTTGTGACACTCCCAATTAGGGTTATTGGGGGAGGGGGGATCCTCTTCCTTCTCCCGTCCCCTTGTCCCCCTTCTGCTCAGCCGAAAGAGGCACAGCCAGGTAAAGTTCCCCTCACTCAAGTTGCTTAGCAACACAACCCACCTGTCTCTTCCAGCGGGGGTTCCCCTGCCTTGCACGGGGCCACGCCCCAGGGAGAGCTGGACACCGGGCCCTCGGCTTGTCGGAAGGAGTATTGGCTCTGCTTCCTCCCGGGTGGAGCCCACGGGGATGAGAGGCTGCAGCCGGGAGTTCAGCCTGCACTTTGCGTTGCTGCGCCTGGCACTGGAGGCTGGCGGGCGGTGGGGGGAGCGTTTCTAAGGGAAGCCCCGGTGGCCTACGCTAGGCAGACCGCATGGCCGGAGGCGCCGTTACAGCACATCCGTGAATTATTGATCGGTGTTAACGCTACAGCTCAGACAACACCATTACTGACTTGGAGTTCATGTTTAAATCATCGCTCCAACGGCTCTGAAATATGCGATCTTTTATTTAATGTGCTCAGCGGCTCTCTGAGCCTCGCGCCTTGTTTGTTTTC